GTCTTCGCGGCGCAGCCGTGCTGTGTTCTAAAAGCTCCCTTTGATGTGGGGAGAGGCGCAGACGTGTCTGAGTTTTTCAGGTTTCACGTCCAGGCGTTCGCTTCCTTGAGCTTTACGTTAAGAGCAGGCGCTGCTGGCACCGCGCGGTGCTCCGAGGGGCAGGGAGCGCGTCCCTGCACGGTGCATCCTGGCGCTGCAGGGCCCTTCCCTCCTTCCACCGCCCAGGCCTGGTTTGCAGGTTACACATTTGTGGTTTGCACCTCCCAGGGAGCAGGAAAAGGGTTCTCAGAGTACCTTAACATTTTAGTGGGCTTATAAATGCATGGAATAATACTGCTCTTTAACAGAAGAAGTGCTAGGAAAAAGTATGAGATATGTATGGAATGTCTTAACTGGATACTTAATAGCAGCCTCTAAAATCTAAAGCCCAATAATGCAAGAAGAAATAACAAAGCAGCTTTATCAACATAACCCTACAGGAGCAAGTGATGTTAGTATCTACGGTGCAGGGGTGTTTGATGTATTAATTCAAATCTCTTAATGAGTGCAGGACGCCCGGCGTGTTCCTGAAAGTCCCTGAAAACTGGTAATTTAAAAAGCATGTATCTTTTGACCAGATGTCTGTAAGGTAGCAGTGCTCTGCTTGGGTTGTCCTTAGCATCCCTGCAGTCCCTGAAGCACAAGCCAAGCACTTGTCCATAGCCAGCAATCTTTCCAGGCACTTCCTGGCACTCTGCGAGTCGGCGGGTTTCTGTCCCTAAGCGCATTCAAAGGGACAAGACGACGCGGTTCAGGAACGCGCGGGCGCTGCGGGTTACCTTACGGCGCGCTGCTCCGGGCACGGCTGCTGGGGCTGCCCGCGGCGCTGCGCATGGCCGGCGCGGCTGCGCGCGTGGGCCCTGGGCTTCCTTTTTTAAGTCATTCCTTCGCGTTTTTAAAGTCTGACCACTCCCCTCTGCTCCTTCCTGTGGGAAATGCAGTTTTAGAGCCCATCCTGCTCGTATCTTCAGTCTTACACTGCTCGTCATGGGAACTTCTGGTTTCTGTAGTCCCTGGGACGGGCAGATACCGCAGGAGCGTCCCCGCAGCGCTATCGCCCGTCGCGCAGCATCCTCGCGGCCGTCGGGGCTTCCTTGCCCGTGGCTCCTCCGCACCCTGCGGCGTTTCCTTGCCCAGGGCATCCTCGCAGCCCCGCGCGGGCTCCCCTGCCCGTCGCGTGGGCTCTGCTGCACACCTGCAGCACAGGAAGGGCTTTGCTGTCTGTGGTCTCTCCTCTGTCTCTGCAGCAGGAGGGGCCTTTGGAAGCCGCAGGGGTTGGGTTCTTCCTCCTGAGTTGGAAGCCCCTGCTGTGCCGTGCACTATGTGCACGGTGCCCGCGTCGCTGCGTTGGGGCCCTTCCCTGTGTGGCCTTGGTGGCTGATGGTGGCCCCGGCCATGTGTGCGCGAGGCCATCGAGCTGCCGCAGCGCCCTGCTCCGTCTGCGGCTGCTGGGAATGTGAAACGGGCCCTGCGTGCCCCTCCTCTGCTTGCTCTTGCAAGTGGAGCAATAAGTAGAGCAAATAATCTCCTCTTGCAAGAAGTGCTTGGGTCACATTTTTACCAGCTGGAAAGCTCTACATTTTGATGGATTTTTTGAAGATTTTTCCAAGTCTTCTATACCACCATTCCCGATGCCTGTGTAGAGGTAGCTGTAGGTGCTGGTGCGGGTTGCTGGAAAGGCCTGTGATGCTCTTGGAAGCTCTTGCTCCAAAGGAACAAATCTGTGGTCATTTATCCAGCGGCTCAGGGTTTCAGTAAATGTCTTAGAAGTGATGTGGGAGCTTGAGACTTTGTTTGGAAGAAGCTTGAATGAAACTGGTGCATCATCCTTATTTCCTGCTGGATGTTCCCTACCAAAAATACCTACAGAATGGTCATAAAACTCAGAGTTTCTGAACACGTGTAATATGGTCACCTGTATTTCTGCAAAATACATGTTTGGGTGACTCTCTCTTTTTTTTTTTTTTTTTTTTTTCTCCTCCTCTTCAGTAGTGCCTGTTCTAAAGTGAAGCAGACAATATACAGCAATGTTCAACCTTCAAATTCCAGTTTACTGTGGGGCCCGGGGCTCATGCTGGATTTTACGGAGAACCCGTCTGCCCACAGCATGAACTCGGCTGCGCCGGGAAGCTGCTCGGTGGCAGCGCGGGCACC